TGACCAAAAATCAAAGACAAATTTTGATTATTAATAATTTGAAATCTCTTTTATACAAAGAATTGACTCATTTGTGTAAATAAATTATGAAAAACTATTTGCTTAGAAAATTTCATTAAATTTATTTAAAAAATTTTATTCTTACGAATAGTATTTGTAACATTTCGTGAGTATTTGTAACAAACGCTGAGTTTACAAAAGCGTACAATACATGTTGGCATCAAACTTTGTTAACGTCTATTTAGAGTAAAATTCACAGAATTCTGAGTCAGAATATTCTGGGTCTTGAGGTGAGAAAAATAACAAACATATACCAAACATAAGCCAAAATACTTTATAAACAAAATAATTTTTAAAAATATATATTTCGTTGCTTTAATATCAAAAGTACCTAAAGTTTTAAACCAAATTCTGTACAATTGGTTCAACAGAAACCAGAATTAAACCCAAATTCTTGGTCTAAATGTGTAATTATATGACATAGCATTGCATTTACACAACAATTACTGTGTAAGAAGTGCTTAAAACTGATTGCTTATGACATACGATGACATATAATGTGTGTTTGTAAGGATAGATGTCAGGGCGTGTGGTGTGAGTGGTGTGAGGGTTGGGTGCAATAGCCTATGGATAGGTTGGCAGTGCTGTGAGTGCTGTGGCATTGGAGTGAAACACCGCTCGCACTGACTCTCGCACTCACTCGCAGTGTATGGAAAGGCGAACGCATTGAGCGAAAGGCAGACCAAACACACAAAAAGGCGTTCAATTTGTTCGCCATTTTTGAACACATTCTCCATTCACTCAATGCATACGTTCATAGATTGTACGTTATATATGAGTATAACGTATATATGCTATACATTTCTATGAGTGTATAGCTTTGTGTGGCGTACAGTCTCTCTCTCTCTCTCTCTCTCACTCACTGATCATATCATATGAACCCATATATACTCGTACTGTATATACATATAACGAGTTGTGTCCACACATATAGTGTATAGTAGTTGTCAGCGCTCTCTCCGTGTCTATGAACACCTCGTCGTCGTCAGCCATTGGGTGATCAGATCTATTGTGACGCGAATGCGGATAATTCTGCGAATGCCTGTCTTGCGATCGCGGATACGGCTGTTGCGAGTCGTGGTGTGGATGTTGTTGTTGCGGTTGGTTATCGTAATTACTGTTTCGTGGATTCGGTGCCATATTTTGAGATTGGTTTTGCCACTGCTGTTGTTGCGGCGATCGGTACGATTTGGGTCGTTCTTCGCCTCTATCGGAGTCCCTTTCCCTTCGTTCCCGATCTTTCTGTCGTCCGTCACCCGAATGTCTCACTTCTCTGGGATCATAATTGGGCTCTTTGTTGGGATGCGAGTCATCGTTCTCGTCGTCACTAAACATGATCTTTGCGTTGTAATCGACTTCAGTGTTTTGCGCGGCCCAACCCTTTTGCACACCACTATCAAGCATATCGTCGAAGCCTTTTAAATCTTTATCAGTGATAATAGGAGGCGCCGGTCTTCCGGGCGGTCCTCCAGACTCTTCACCTGGTCGTTGGCCGGCTCTAAACAATCGCCACAAATAGTATCATTAATATTAAATCAAAAAACAGATAGAAATAAGTGGATATGTGTTGTATGAATGATCAGACATATGATCAGTGGGTGATGAAGTGTTACGTCAACATTAAGTTCAGCCGAAGATTCAATCATCATATCATTCAATACAACAATAAATACAATCAATAGGTGTGAGACATACCTGTCGGGGAAGTAAGGCTGCCGTGTATTGATAGGTCCGTGTGGTGTGAAACCTTGTGGTGGAAACGGACCGGTCGGGTACGCGCCTCTCTGGCCCGGATAAGACATCTATTCAAAAACACGCAAACATTTTAATACAATACTTATTGTATGCAATTGTATATAAACTTTAAAATTATTGAAAAAAACAAAATACTCTGATCTAAAATTAATTTACAAAACAATTAACGTTTAAAATAATGTTATAAGTAGTAAAATAATAAAATATATCAAGAATACAAACTTTTCATTTATAAAAAATCAATTAAACATTTGTTTAATTATTTCATATTTCCTAAAATACCACTTCTTTTATAAATTATTGATTTTAAAACAAAATAACTATTTTTGGTTTATATGCATTAAAGGAATTGAAAACATATTATTGAGAATTTTTAATGCTTTTATCATAAAAAAGTTGATTGAAATTATCACTAGATTTCAAGTGAATGGCGTTTTTATTGGAGGCAATGGCCGACAACTTACGAAACCTCCAAAACAGATATCCATTCACTTGAATGACATTTATATGAAAAGTAAATATTAATTCATTGATAAGATTTGAAACGAGAAAATATGTGAAAAAGACTCACATGTGGCGGATATGGAGTAATCATTCTGTATTGGTTGAAATTCATGGGTTGCTGTCCCGGCATTAGAGGACCGCCGGTTTGGTTAGCGGCGGGCATAATGGGAACGGCGCCCGGCATCGGCCCCCTTTGGGTCGGGGGGCCACCGGATTGGGGGTATAAGCCTCTGGCCATTTGCGGTATGTTTTGATCGTTGGGATGAGACGGTGGCTGTCCTGACGCGGCGCTGCCAGCATTCGGTGATTGGTTTGCGTTGGGATTGATGCCGGGCTGCGGGGCCTGGAGTGTGCCTCTGCCCCAACTGCCTTCGGTCTGCGGCCGCAGACTGGGTCCGGGCCCGTATGAAATCTCGGCACTTGGCTTTGTGGTCGCGTCTTGAGGGGCATTCCCACCATCGAGTTTCGGGAATTCCTGAGGAAAAAACGGCAACTGTTGGACTGAGAAGCTCTTCTCGGGACCACTTTCCGGGTGCTCTGCGGTGGCAGTTATTGTGCTCCATGTCTTTGATTGAGCTGTCAATGCGGCTGACGTTAAGCCTAAAGCAATGGCTCCAACATTTGTATCGGTTGTAGCGGTCGATGACGTCATCAATGGATTCAATGGCCCGGCGCTCGGCTTTTGTGCACTCAATGGCTGCGCGTCGACACCAGTCGATGAAGTTTGCAAAGGAGGCGTCGCTCCACTGTATCGCACAATACAAGACATTCAGTCATTTCAATACACAATGGCATCCAATCGACACATACCTGTCCTCGTCTTTCCCTGAACCCCATCCTTGACCTCCTGTAGGAACTAATGTTATGTTCTGATTGGTTGTGGTTTGACTCTTCAGAGATGGCAGATTAGCCGGCGGTGGCATTCGCCGACCGGCGCCCACTTTGCCCAACGTTTGCAAACCATGTTTTGGAGCGACTGTTTTGACACACAATTGAATCATACAATTAGATATCCTATCAATGGCTCATGGATTGAGTCAACAAACCTGATGTCTTTGTGGTTTCAAGACTTTTGCCTTTATATAGATTATTGATATTCAATGACTGATACTTTTGTTTTGATTTGTTCTCCCCTTTGGACGTAAGCCCCGAAACTGCGGACATTATGACCACAAGAAGTCATTGAGTATTACTAGACTTTAGACCAAAGGAACCAAACGCTCCCTAAAAATGAGATAACCATTCAATGGTTAGATTTCTCTTCATATATACAGACAATCAAACGATAAATGTTTCAAACAATAAAAGCAAAACAAAATTATTAATCAAATGACTAAAACAGAAAAATGCGTTCATTTCCAGTGAAATACATGCGTTGAGTAATGCATTGATTGCCGGCTTTTATCGCAATTAAACTCACATTTAAAAGACACCGAAAAAATTAATCAAAAAATAAGGTTTTTTACAGAAAACAAAACGTTTTTGAAACACAAAAAATTCCAAACGTTTTATTGAAAGTCAAACACAAATTAAAGGCCCAAAAGACACGCAATTCATTCGTACACTCATTTCAATGCTATTATTATAACAATTCATTCACTCATTGAGTAAAACATTGAAAACGTATGAAAAGGACGACTCTTTATGTCATATGAGAGTCAAAGAGCAGAGAAAGAGACAAAACGGACACAAAAAATGGGAGGCTTTTCAAAGTGGGCTTCAATTCGTTGAATACAAACCTCGGCTCCGATTCAATGGCTTTCGATATAATGTGTAAATGAATTGAGAGACCGATATCTCAGCGATTATTATAAAGAGAAATACAATTAAAACACAATAAAACAGGCGTTTGAGTGTTGGGTCCGACGACTGGTGTGGAGCCCAACACAACACAAGCGTATGTATAGACGTATAGATTTGCCGATCAATTCAATCACTGGTAATGTCTTTGAGACACCGATCGGACAGTCGTTGCGGTGGTTGTGGCCGACAGTTGTCTGTCGATTGGGTGACGACTATTCAAATCACTATTAAATCATACAAAAGAGCACTTCATAGACACGGAGAGAGCGCTGACAACTACTATACACTATATGTGTGGACACAACTCGTTATATGTATATACAGTACGAGTATATATGGGTTCATATGATATGATCAGTGAGTGAGAGAGAGAGAGACTGTACGCCACACAAAGCTATACACTCATAGAAATGTATGGCATATATACGTTATACTCATATATAACGTACAATCTATGAGAACGTATGCATTGAGTGAATGGAGAATGTGTTCAAAAATGGCGAACAAATTGAACGCCTTTTTGTGTGTTTGGTCTGCCTTTTGCTCAATGCCTTCGCCTTTCCATACACTGCGAGTGAGTGCGAGAGCGAGAGAGCGGTGTTTCACTCCAATGCCACAGCACTCACAGCACTGCCAACCTATCCATAGGCTATTGCACCCAACCCTCACACCACACGCCCTGACATCTATCCATACAAACACACATTATATGTCATGGTATGTCATAAGCAATCAGTTTTAAGCACTTCTTACACAGTAATTGTTGGGTAAATGCAATGCTATGTCATATGATTACACATTTAGATCAAGAATTTGGGTTTAATTCTGGTTTCTGTTGAACCAATTGTACAGAATTTGGTTTAAAACTTTAGGTATTTTTGATATTACTGTTAAAGCAACGAAATATATATTTTAATTATTTTGTTCATAAAGTATTTTGGCTTATGTTTGGTATATGTTTGTTATTTTTCTCACCTCAAGACCCAGAATATTCTGACTCAGAATTCTGTGAATTTTACTCTAAATACATGTTAACATAGTTTAATGCCAACATGTATTGTACGCTTCTGTAAACTCAGCGTTTGTTACAAATACTAAGAATAAAATTTTTAAAATAAATTTAATGAAATTTTCTAAGCAAATAGTTTTTCATAATTTATTTACACAAATGAGTCAATTCTTTGTATAAAAGAGATTTCAAATTATTAATAATCAAAATTTGTCTTTGATTTTTGGTCAAAAATTTTTAATCATTAGATAACAGTTAACAGAAAACAAAACATAAAAACTTTGAAAAAAGTTGTACCAAAAATAATAATCAGAATATTATTGAAATTGTCGTATATTTTATAAAAATCGGAGTGTTTTTAGAGGAATTGTTCACTCATTTTGAAGACAAGTATTTGTAATGGAAGAGCGATATATCAATTGTTGCGATATATTTATTGATATTCATCATTGGTTTTTGATGTATCGGTTGAAAGTGCTGTAATATTTACTCTTATACCATCTGACCACTAGTCCTGACGGCCAACGGATGTAATTGTCTGAGTATTGATACTTATGAACTGTGGGCAACTCTTCGATGCGGCCCAAGAACTCCTTGAGATTCGGGTGGTGTGCGAACAGTTCCGGTTCCAGATAGTAGTGCAGATCAATGAACTCGTAAGCAATAAAGTCCACATAACTGATGGACTTTCCGGCGAAGTACGGATGATCGCCGAGAAAGTCGCTCAACGATTTGAGTACTGACGGCACTGTCTTCAGGTACTCAACTCTCGCTGTTTCGAAGTGCGGATCAAAAGTGGCCTCAAGAAAGCCGGCCCTATAGTCCTTGAGTTGACCCTCCAGTACATCGATCCTAATCTTCTCGCGTTCATTATGTCCGGCCAACCGGTGCTTCTTCGACAGGTACCGCATTATCGTCAAGCTTTGCGTGATTTTCACGTCTCCATCGATATAATACGGCAACTGTTTTGTGAATTAAATTGTATTTTTCATTTACAATTATGTCCGGCCAACCGGTGCTTCTTCGACAGGTACCGCATTATCGTCAAGCTTTGCGTGATTTTCACGTCTCCATCGATATAATACGGCAACTGTTTTGTGAATTAAATTGTATTTTTCATTTACTGTTACATTTGTTTAAACTTTATAAAGTTTTTTGTTTGAAAACATTTGAATTTAAAAACAGTTTACTAAACACTAACATATCAACAATTCATAGCTATTATCAACTCTTTTGTCTTCGTTTTTATAATTTATATTTTATACTTGAATTGAAATAAAAGCTTTTATTATGAATACTTTGTATTTATTTCCATTCATGCACTTAAGCACGAAAACCAATGATTATGTTTAGCAAAATTCAATACAGAATATAATAATATTTGTTAAATAGTTTGACTTTGAGAGGAAAAATTGTTTTCATAATATTACCAATCGATATGTTTGTTAAGTAAATATTTTATCGGAACTATTAGTGAGCGATTTGAAGACACTTATGTTTGCTGACTATCAAAATAAAGCAAATTATGTCCGGCCAACCGGTGCTTCTTCGACAGGTACCGCATTATCGTCAAGCTTTGCGTGATTTTCACGTCTCCATCGATATAATACGGCAACTGTTTTGTGAATTAAATTGTATTTTTCATTTACATTTGTTTAAACTTCACAAAGTTTTTTGTTTGAAAACATTTGAATTTAAAAACAGTTTACTAAACACTAACATATCAACAATTCATAGCTATTATCAACTCTTTTGTCTTCGTTTTTTATAATTTATATTTTATACTTGAATTGAAATAAAAGCTTTTATTATGAATACTTTGTATTTATTTCCATTCATGCACTTAAGCACGAAAACCAATGATTATGTTCAGCAAAATTCAATACAGAATATAATAATATTTGTTAAATAGTCTGACTTTGAGAGGAAAAATTGTTTTCATAATATTACCAATCGATATGTTTGTTAAGTAAATATTTTATCGGAACTATTAGTGAGCGATTTGAAGACACTTATGTTTGCTGACTATCAAAATAAAGCAATAAAACACACTTACATTGGGAAAGTCCAGACCAAAGCTCTTCTTGCTTTCATACCATTCGACCTGATCTTCATGTGGCGGACCGTAATTGTATCGTTTGTCGGTGTACTCGGTCTCAGTGTATGCCAATAATAGCCGTATCGGTTGTCCTAACTATCGGTGTGAACACAATCAAAACTAATTGTTATCTTTGTTAATATTACAAACAAATTACAATAAAACATAATGTTTATTTATTGTTTAAAAATGCATAAAACCAGATATGACATTTGTGATAATTTATCACTGATAAATGAGCATGATACTCTTACTTCTCATAGCTTCTAATTTCTCTTCTATACTAACATTATAGCAAAAAAAGTCAACAGTTGTCTTAGTTATCAGAAAGCGATTCCTAACCTATCCTTGAATTTATGCGAAGTGTAATGCTTTGAAGTAATAACTAAAACACACTATATTTTTATATTTTTCATATCATTTGTATAAAAAATATATTTTTGCAATATTTTATTCTTGACAATCATATGCTGTGTTCACTGAATGAGTGAATATTTTTCGCAAAGAGACTGCATATCGCTGTTTGTGTTAAAGCGGTTGAAACTCTAAATGATTTTATATTAGATTTCATTCGCATTAAAAACATTATGATAAATATCAAAGACTCGAATGTGACGTGAATAACAGATTTATTAATATATTTTTATTACTTTTATAGTTAGACACATAAACTAACGAGTTCAGGTGTGACTGTAGTAGTAAATCCCAGGGAGAGAGAGAGAGAGAGAGAGAGAGAGAGAGAGAGAGAGGATGGCCTCACTATTTATTATCATTTATTACAAACACAGGGTTTTTAGAAAAAAACAAATTTGTTTTTATTTAAAAATAAGTCATGAAATATACAAAGAATAAGCAAAACCTAAATTCCGTTCAAAGACAAAGAATTTGAGCAAATATTTTAAAATATTTCAAATATTAGTTGATTTGCGTAAAGGAATAGAGAAAAGAGTGTCATATTATATGACAAACACGAAGACAACGGATATTGAATATGATTTTGAATGCGAGCCTCTAATCGCTTTAGAAATGCAGTGTAAGTCACATGAGATAACACTTTAAAACTATTGCATTCACTAAAAACTTTGATTTTAAAGATAATTCTAAATATTACTGTTATTAAAGTTAAAAATTGGAGACCAAACGAAAGGATACATTTGAAGTGGTTTTTATTCAATAGATTATTGGATACAAATATTCATTGAGTTATGGATACATCGTTAACAATAATTTGTCAATTATTATGAATAACAGTTAGAAAAATATAGTTTTTGGTAAATTATACAAAATATTCATTAATAGGGAATCCCTATTAGGGATAGTGAGAGACAGATAGTGTACAGATTGAATATGGGTTAACACTTACTCCACGTATATTCCAATAGCCAAAGACAGGCAAATCTGATGCCATATTCTTGCAGTGGTTGGCAATTGAATGGCAAATATTATGAACGGCAGCCAAAACTTACGATACAATCACTGGAGTATGTATTGAATCCAATGCCCAATAAAACAGTATATTTATGGCCAGAAAATCACTTTAAAACCAGAATATGATTGCAATTGAAGGCCACAATCAATCTGTTAGTAACCAAAGTGTTTGTCATCAAGTCTTGCGCTCTCCTCTCACTTCTCCCTCCCTATCGTATCTAACAATCCATTTCCCAAT